CTTGTGTCGTTAAAGTTTCGTCGGAACGCATTTACGGAGAGTTTTAACAAACGGAGACGTAACAGTATTTTTGTGTGTGTTCTAACTTGAATACCGGAAACCGAGATACCTTTTGCAGCCCACTCAATCTCCCGAATTCAATTTTACTGACCCGCAGACTAGGTATTAATTTGAAAAAATTAAAATAGAAAAAGTCACCATTTTAACTTTTTCGTGTTCTCCTTAAACGTATTATAACCAATATGTTAAGTAGCTGTAATATCAATACACGACATATCTACAAAATTGTTTGATCTCATAGTTATTGTCACCAGTGTTTGTTGTCTGCTGGTTAATGTGTTGGGCTATAAGAACCAAGTCGTGGAGCACACTTCACACTTTCAGCGTTATTTGTGCTGATTCGGTAAAGCCCGTGTAGGCGGAGAGTGCCACTAGTTGGTAGTTCTCCTTCTACCCAAAAATCCTAAATTAGGAATTATTATATCTGAGCACCTACCGTTCTTTGACAAAACTCTTAAGTCTATGCGTCGCACAAGTTGCTGGTCATATCGAAATTATTTCTACCCACCTCAAGGTTTATGGTTATATATAAACACGTTTATGTTTCTGATATTAATCTATCTTTCTGTTTTTAGTGTGGTTGAAAAGTTACTTGGTAAAAAGTTTGGGACTAACCTTCTTGGCGTCATTGTTGTTATCGGTGTGATTCGGCTGCGGGCTCATCACGGTACCATTATTAACAGCCCCCTGGGAGACGAGTTCGTCAGATCCACGCTGAAAAACGAGCAATGTTATTAATGTATCAAAACGTTTTCTTCATGCATTTGTTGAGTCTACGTTTTTATTTATTTTTGTTAATTAATGAAGTAATTAATCAAGTTGAATCGCTTAATGTTTAGAAGCTTAACCAAAGATAATCATGTTTAAGCACGTAAACATCATGCTGCTTCATGACTAAACTTTTAAATTAAGCGTTACATACGGATATGAACACACGTAATTGTATGGAAACTAAAATTTGATATATTTGAACTCGATATTGGTTTTTAACTACGCATTCACATACAGTGAAATAAAAAAAATGAACCAAACATCGCTAACCGACTTTAAGCGATTTATAAAGTTATAAATATAAACCACAGAACCCAAGTTGCTTTAATGAAGACCATTTCCAGAAAGCAATAGAGGAAATACGAAGATTTCTCTAAAAATTCAATTATTTCAGTAGAACAGGGGTGGACAGGACTCTAAAACTCTACCACGAAAACAGCTAGAGAGGGTCAAAAAAATTTGTCATAGAAATAACAAAACTACATATCCAAGAAATATATGTAATTTAGTGTTAAAACACTAGTCATACATAGTTCACACGATCAGTAATTAAGAAAATACAGAAGAGTCCATCACAAGATAACGTCTTCAACTAAAATATTGTCCAGTATATCCTTTCCGACGCACATCATTACTGGAAGAATTTACAGACCCGTTAATTTAAATGTTAATGTGATGGCAATAGACAAATAATTATATCTCTATTGCATGTACAGAGCATTAATCTATTTTTTTACGTACTTTTCCAGGATTTTTCCGGTGGGTCACTCCGAGCCTGGCTGAAACGCAATCAAGCGGATATTAAGCTGACTCAAGAGGAATATGGCGATCGTGTTTCAGCACTTGAACAACATGGCGATCGTGTTTCAACACTTGAGCAACATGGCGATCGTGTTTCAACACTTCAGCAACATGGCGATCGTGTTTCAGCACGCGAATAACATGGCGATCGTGTTTCAACACTTGAACAACATGGCAATCGTGTTTCAACACTTGAGCAACATGGCGATCGTGTTTCAGCACTTGAATAACAAGTAGAGGTTAAGAACATAACAAATAATGGAATCCTGAAAATACTAAAGATGACATAACTCAATTTTTGGGACAAGTTACAACATTTATAAATGTTCCCTTTCGTAAAAAGAGACATTGCAGTACCATATTGCTGCTACCCCTTATTTAGTTCCATACCAGCCAAGTAAAACTGGATGCATGGTTACTGGGCCCCGACTTTGGGACTACGAGGAAACATCTAATTACTGAACTACATACATCTAAATCAGCCGGATAGAAAAGCATCTTTAATGACGATCTCTCTTCATCTTATTATAAAGATGATCCATTATGTGTGTATTAGCATCCATCACTCAGAGTTGACTGACTCGACTATTGTAATTTTTGGTATGGTAACTGGGCAATATTCATGGGCTGTTGTGTTTTAGAATTTTTGTCTGAGAATCAGAAAAATACCCTGAAATAGGGAAAATTTCCACTTTATATACTTTAGTTTTAATTTAAAGACACAAGTACTTAATTAGTTACATGAGTCAATTATTACCTTCCACAGAGCAAGGTATACAATTAGCATTTAATGAGGTCATTAGAAATTTAATAACAAAAGAAAGAAGAACACTAACATTGTACTTTATACTATTTTTGTTTCCTGAATGGGTACTCGCAACTAGTAAAATTAAAAACAAAAAAGTTGTATTAAATAGACAATACGCTCTCATCTGGGTTAGAGACTGTAAAAATATATGCAAGGAAATGGAAACCATAAAATGTTTTTGTTAGATATATATGCAAAAAAGAGGAAATCATAAGACGACTTTGTTAGATATACGGAAGTGGAAATCATAAGACGATTTTGTTAGATATATACGCAAGGAAGTGGAAATCATAAGACGATTTTGTTAGATATACGCAAGGAAGTGGAAATCATAAGACGATTTTGTTAGATATATGCAAGGAAGTGAAAATCATAAGACGATTTTGTTAGATATACACGACTTTCATTTTAAGTTTAATGTTAGCATTATGATTTAGATAATTTATCTAGCACGAGTATTAAAGTTATTTTTAGAAGTGATAGTTATGTCAAGTTTGTTTATGTAACTATTTACGAATCATTTGTTGTGAATTGATATCATGTTACAAGAACCTTCTGAATTTTTCTCTTTTTTTTTAATTGCATCATAATATCTAGTAGTGTGAGTAAGGTTTTAGTTTGCTGTCGGGTATATACATACATACATACATACATACATACACACGTCCAGACAGATAGATTGCGAGTTTAGCTGTAAAAAGCGTATAGTGGCGCTTTTTTAAAGTGAAATTATCACAGGATGTATTGTAACAACAGGGTAGAGAAGAATAGTTTGTCTCGTCAATTGTGTTTTAGAGTAACAGAACAAACCTGTGTGGATGTTTGACGAAAAGAGAATTATTTAAATCTCTGAATACAACTGCGGTAACCAACAGTGTAGCGTAAGTGAAATTATCACCTACTATATTGTAATAACAGAGCAGAGAAGAATAATTCGTCTTGTCAATTGTGTTATAAAGTAACTGTACAACCTATGTGGAATTGGATGAAAAGAGATGACGATTTAAAGCTCTAGGTACAGCTGTGGTAATCAACAGCGAGACAAACATTTGTATATACGTTTGACTTGTTTTAATATGTTATTTTAAGACAAGAGGACCGTGTGCTGTTTGTTTATTGGTGAAATGTATATTGTTAACTAGAAAATGCATATATGAAATGGCAGAATTATTAGATGATATTAATGATGACTTGAAATAATTTAAACTGAATGCAAGTAGCTTGAAGTTACATACTGACAAAATAACACTATTATTACATGAGCTGAAAACACAATATGGTGTTAACTGTGTTTACAGAAACCTGACTGGAATATTCTAAGTAATACTAATAAATTTAAGAAGTGTGATTGTATTTCGATTCATTTATTGAACAAATATAACTCAACATGTGTAAACATTAACTGAACTAAACTGAATGTGGTTATTATTTAATATCACTAACAAAATGAATGTTTTTCTTTAACATATATCTTGTTAGAATTTCGCGCAAATGTATTCGAAGGCTATCTGCACTAGCAGTCCCTAATTTAGTAGTGATAGACTAGAGGGGAATGCAGCTAGTCAACACCACCCACCGCCAACGAAGGGTGGGATTGACCGTAACATTTTAACGCTCCGAATTCTGAAAGGGCGAGTATTTTCGGTGATGGGGATTCGAACCCACGACACGCAAATTGCGAGCCGAGCGCCCTAACTATCAGGTCATGCCAGGCCTAACATATACCTATGGTTCAGCTAATAATGACGTCATAACATTCTTAAATAGTTTATCTAATCACATTTTAGTTGGTTTTATTAAGAAATACATAGATATCAAAATTGTAAGATCGAGTGATACCAAAGATTTTTAAAATTCAGTATATGAACTTGGTTATTTACAATATATTAACGAGTGTATTAGGGTTACTGAAAAGCATCAATCCTTCCTTGGTTAAAATGTAAAAAAAAAATAGAGATTTAAAACCCCAATCAGCGCTTATTAAAACATTACACATATTACTGGTTACTACAGCATTACGAATTAATATTAATTTTGCTCTTCTGTTAACACTGGAATTAAGTATGAAATGTTAGCTATTAAATGCTATAAGATCAACTTGTTGATGATGGACAAGTTCTTCGGAAGCGGCTCCACCCAACTTAGCTTTTAATAAATATAAATATTGCTCTTAATTCTTTAAAATGAAGCCATGGATTACTAATATCAATAAATGTCTGTGACCAAATAGCTAAAAAAATCTGTGGAGGAACGATTTAATGTAGACTTAAAGGATGAACATAAACAAGTATGTGAAATATTTTAATAACAAGACTGAGGATGAGAATAACAACTCGATGTTACGCTTATGTAAAAACGACCATTAAAAGGTATAGATTAGTCTTAATAAAGTTTGTAATTCTGAAGTTGGTGATATTATTTAATTAATAAAGCTATAATTACATGTAACTCTTCTGATGTGTTGGATAATTATTTTGTACCAATTGTATAAATTTGGCTAAAACATTTAGGTAAAAATCAAATATTAATACCTATACTTCAAGCAAACACAAACGAATCTGTAAACAATGTTTTTTTAGGCCCGGCATGGCCAGGTGATTAGGGCGCTCGACTCGCAATCTGAGAGTCGCGGGTTCGAATCCCCGTCCCACCAAACATGCCCGCCCTTTCA